AAGCCAGACCTTGTACAGACATGATCCCTAATCCTCACAGTAACCCTGCAAGGCGGTTCGGATTATCCCCCATTTTGCAGATGAGAAAGGGCAGAGAAGCTGATGAAGTTGCCTAAAATCAAGTAAGTAGCAGAAATGGGGATTTGAACACAAATATGTCTGGTTCTGAAGCCTGAGTTCTTCCCACTATGCCCCACAATGAAGGGTTTTTATTTGTCTGTTTTGAGAAGTAATTAAGTTACAGTGGGAAAAGAACAAAAGTTTGCTTTTGGAAATATGTATTAAGAGTCATTAAAATGTTCATATCCCTTCAGCCAGTTACCCTACCATTGGGAAATTATCCCAAAGAAATAATTTAGGATACATTCTTCCAAGTATTTCATAGCCAAAACTTAGAAGGCACGTGTTAAAAATCAGGGAAATGCTTAGGTAAATTATGGTATAAATCCTTAATGACAATTTATTAGCCATTAAATAAGTTCAAATATGAAGGCTATTTAGCATAATAGAAAATAGAAATAATAATAATGAGGAACACTAGATTGTTAAGGGCATCAGATGAGATAATGACCTTGTATATTGCTTTGGAAGCTATAAAGTATTTTACCAATGTTTTTTCTTATTTGTATAGAAGGACTACCTGTAGAAATACATGATTTGGCTTTCCTATATCACTTCCTAAGGATGTGTATAATAACTAGAGTATTTGTATAATTATTAGAAATTAAATTGTAGATGTGTTCTTATAAATCACCTTTCCTTTTTTTGCAGTTTTACATACTTATGAATTGAGTTTGTTTAAAATTAAAAACCAGTAGCATTTACAGCTGTAGCTACCTAAAAATTATTTATTTATCAGAGTTCATTTGTTAAAAACTAAATGTTTGAAATATAAAGTCCTTTATTATTTTGAAATCATTCTTAGAGAGCACTAATACAAATAAAGCAGGACTTAATCCTGAGAAATTAACTAATTCACGTGATGTATGAGGATATCCAAGCTGTGTGTCCTTTTTTTTCTTTAATTGGGGGAGGGGAACAGTGTTGGGGAATTGGGGAAGGGGACCAGCCAAGTCGTTGTTCTTCAATCTTAGTTTTGGAGGGCGCCAGTCGCCATTTGGCTGCCCATTGGCAG